GGTAAATTCAATGGAAATGAGTGAATTTATTGAATTGAACGTAAAATGTGACTCCAACAAACTAGAGCATTCGAGAGGCTCTGTACTCTCCTACCAGATTCCTGATTTTTCTCTAATTGTTACCCGCCCCTCCCCCTTACATTTATTGACAATCTCTCTAACTGACTCACTACCCTCCCCCCTAACAAAATAACAGAATAACAAACTGCATGCTTAATTAATTTGGATACTTAGCTGACGTGGCTGCCTCCGTACTCCTTCTTGCGTATTTAAAAATCACTGGGGGTCTATCAAAAGCATGATATGTTTTAATTAGATAAACAAGGTAATCTCACATTTTAGCAGGAATCTTGGCTTTTTAAAAATAAATCTTATCAAAATGTAAGATTTATTTTTAAAATGCCAACACAATTTCTCTGATGGTTTTACTTTCTTCAAATGATGTCAAATTAGGGAAAAAAAACCATAGTCCTAATATATTTGTAGGTTTGATCCTATTTTTCTTCAAAACTTTAAGGGTTTTGAATTAATTGAAATTTGACAAGTTTCACTTTCGGAATATGCTTTTATTTACCTGGTTAATGTGCAGCCATGCTTGGCAGGTGAACTGAGTTGTAGGCTTAGGGAGTAATTACATGGCCAACTTTTCCATGTGGCCAAAAAATGCATAACAAGTTAACACAAATTAAAAGTCAAACCACAACTCCTACACAACTACGCATAGGGTGTTAAAAGTGACAATGCTGATGTTGTGACCATTCTATGCTTTTTTGTTCATATTTTCTTTTCCTTGTGGAGAAAATACTTCTTCACAAGTCTTTTGTGGATTTTTGGGACCTCATTATGAACTGAAATTTACAGTGACAGGATAGCTTGTATTGTTCACTGTTTATGTTCTAAGGTAGCACTATTGCTATAGGTTCATTGTGGGAATGGAAAGGCATCATTATTCGAAATTTGGGGTTTTTCCTGGACATGATGACACTGTTGATGGCCATTGCTCATTATCTGCATATTTGGTTGCTTCATGGCATGGCATTTCATCTTGTGGATGCTGTCCTTTTCCTGAACATTCGGGTAAATATTTCTCTCTATTTGCTACTGCAATTATAATTTTTTCTATTCTGCTTGATCTTCTTGTTACAGCTATTATTGTTCCAGGTGCTGCTTTGCCATCTTGTGGTCTATTATGTTACTTATATTCACACTTTTTTGTGCTTAGGCCCTTTTAAGTGCATGCGTAAAACGTGCCAAAGGTTTCATCAAATTGCGGATGGCTTTGGGGACCCTTCATGGAGCACTTCCTGATGCTACACTGGAGGAGCTCCGAGCATATGATGATGAGTGTGCTATTTGTAGGGTAAATACGACTCACCTTTGCTTCCCTATCTCATTGAATTTTACCATCTCCAAGCATGTTATATGTTTATTGGGAAATGACAGGAACCAATGGCAAAAGCTAAGAAGCTGTGCTGTAATCATCTTTTTCATCTTGCATGCTTGAGATCTTGGTATGATTGACATTCTATAATAATTTCTCAAAATGATTGTTTATCCCCACGAACAGTTGGGAGAAGTAGAATCTAATTCTGCCTGATGTATCGTTGACAGGCTAGATCAAGGTTCAACTGAGAATTACTCTTGCCCCACTTGTCGGAAGCCACTTCTTATGGGCCAACCTGAAAATGGGGTAAGCACCCGTGCTGCTGAAATTTCAAGAGATGAGCAGCTTGCTCGTGAAATGAGTGCTGTACTTGAGCGGCCAAATCTTCCTAGTCATAACCTGCCCTCCGGAGTCTTCTCTAACCAGCCACAGAATTCAGAAAATGGTGATCGGAGGTCTGT